ATATCGTTTATTAGAAGAATTTATGCATAGTTACAGGTGATGCAAAGATAAACAGAATGTATGAAATATAAAGTGAAGTACAGTTTGTCTATGTCCAACAGGTGATTACATTAGAGTAAATTATCGGAACAGAAATTGGACTTTGTCTATGGAACATGTACAAATTTCAGCAAGTATTTCATCAATATTAGATCGAAAAGATAAATTTAGAGAGTGTTATATGAAAGTACTCATAAAAACATCTTAAAAATATAACCTATACTATTAAATGAAATAGTATAAATGGAGAATGCATGACCAGAGCAATCCTAGCTTAAAGAGAACAATAGAGCAGTTCGGAGTTGAGTGCGGGAAATGTTGCTGAGGATGGTGAATGGAAAGTGTCTAAGAAGGTTGTTATTGGGCGGTGTCGGCCAGGTCGTGGATTACAGCAATGAACGGCCAGTCGTTGCCAGAATAAATGAATGTAGTTCCGTCTTGTGGTTAACCGAGAGATCTTTATGAATGAAGTCATCCCATTCTGATATATTGTGTCTGTGATCAGAATATTGGGAGTTTGTATCAAGTAAGTCCATGGACAAAAATTTGAAAAGGATAAGTTTCAGGTCGGCTAGTTTGGGTGCGTCTTTCGATACCAAGTTTAAGAGTATGCATTTTTTAGCCCCAAGTAAATCGCGAATTTAGATGTGAAATGATCAGATTCAGGGTGTCGTCGAACTGTATGTACAGGGGAGCCCCGTGTCAAGTCGAACGGAGGTGTCTGTTCATGGAGGCGAGGTGTTGGAACGAGTCGAGCGGGTGAACAGCGGGACGGAGGAGACGGGAGAGCCGTTACCTCATCAGGCGCCGGAACCGGAAGTGGAATACAATCTTTTAAACACAGTTACTCTGCATCAATTTCCATCCAGCAGGTGACAAACTAAGGACATAAAGCTGGCCATATAGTTTTAAATATTTTTCATTCAACCCGCAGGTTGAACAAATAAAATATTACAGATTCCTCCATCAACTAATCCCCCACGGTTTCCTTTGCATTCTGACAGCGGCCGCCGTTTGCTGTCAGAATATGAAACTAAGCCAGCAGCTCATTAGCTACTGGCTGTGTTCAAACATTTTCTGACCGGCTCTTTCAATGGGCTGAAGTTCATCATAAACTGGTCGAAAAACTGTAAAGCTCTATGCCCCCCCAAGCATGCTATCGGACATGGCCAGCAGTAATGAAAAGCAGGGGTGCCCAGAGCCCTTCAAGATAGAAGACTGCTTATGTCTAAAAGGTGGCCCAAATTACTTCCTCAATAAATCATAGCTAAGCTCCTATAGTTGGGTGGCCATTTGCTTTCTTAATATTTACCCCATAGCTATGGCTAACAGTAGATTTGTAATCACTATAGCCAAAGTACACTTAAAAAGGCAACAGTGAAGCAATTAAGTTACCAGGCCTATGAATAACACTACCTAACTGCCCATCTCTTTCTCACTTACTGAGCGCATGTCAGCCCTGCTATTAATAAGCAAAAACAAGAACAGGCATTCTGATGTTCTAGCTGAACATTTTCACACCATTTTGAAATTAGTCCGGAGTCCCTGCATACTATTTGCTTTGGAAACAATTTATCAAAACAAAGTCCATTTGTTTTCCATCAGTTATAATATGATCCACATTCCAATTTTTTTTTTAAAGAGATCTGAATGTAGTTAATAGAATGTTATTTATTTTTACTTAGCACTAGCAGCTCAGCAATGTCTGAACAAATAACTGCACATCCATTTGACTTTAAATGGCATGACACAGAAAAGCTAATTGGGAGCATGAAAAGTCAGTGACGACTTGTAGCGAATATAAGTGAAGCAAGTGCCAAGAATGTTTTTTTTATTAACAAAATTCTTGTACTCATGTCAGAGATGCAAAAGCAATATGTAAATTGTTAATGTTTCTTACATTTTTAAATTCCGTACCAAGTTAACCATTTACAGTGGAACTAAACCAGGGTTAAACAAATTAATATGTTTTTCAGGAGCCAGTCTGTTCAATCCAAGAGTGTGCACCATTGACAATTATGCAAACTTTTAAAAGTTAGACGGCAGTTGTAAAATTCCGAGACAAACATTGTCCTTTACGTTAAACACATCACAATTAGTAGTGTAAAAAAATATTTGCTTACTCTATGCTGACCAGAAATGTCCACAAATTTCCGGTCAAGAAGCATGATGCTCTGTGGCTTTAAGCATCCTGTATTCATGTCCCAAAAAGCTAAACACTATCTATTCAGAATCTACAGAACAAAACCCCGTTCCTTCAACATCCCTGGAGGAGCCGGGAGAGGCTTGGGATGTAGTGCTTTTGTGCAGTTTCTGGATATCCCTGGCCAATGGAGATCCTGCATTCAGTATAGTCAACCAAAAGGAGGAATGAAGATAGATGAACTTCTGATGGCTAATTTTAATAAAATGATAGGCTGGATCAAAAAAGGGTACAGAAAACAAGGAAATTGATGAAGTATGCTGCTACATACTTTTTTTTCCCCACCAAAGTTTAAATAACACTTTAAAGATCCCTGATTACTTTGTCACGGTCCTCTTCTAATGCCATATGATTACAGACCAAAATCGTTAAAAGACCTGAACTCAAAAAATAAGATTCGCTTTGGCAGAAGGAATATTTTTAAAAATGTTAACGGTCTATGCAGGATCCTGAATAATGCATCTTTGTCTTGCACTCACTCTGAAAAAAGCATGGCATCTACTAGTATGCGAGGATGCCTAAAGCCTCATAACATATCTGCAATGTGAGATTTAAGATACTGCTATATCTGGCACCTAGTCTTGAGAGGTTTGGGGTGAGATTTGGTGATACCACTGCTTTTTTGTTCTACTTGCTGAAATCTCTACCAAGATATCCACCTCCATACAAATTCTGTGTAGAATATGGCATGGCAAGTCAGTAATGGAGAAAAATCAGCTGCAGGAAGCCTACAGGCAATACTGGAACTTGATCA